AGGGCACACAGGAATGGGCGAATTTCAGTAGAGCACTCCAAGTTCACCATGGGATGAAAGGGCTGTCAGACAAGAAAAAAACTGTGCTTATAATAAATAATACATTCTTAAATAATATATTAATAACAATAATTATAAAAATATTATTTTTTTATTTTTATAAATATTTAATATTTGTTATGTTTAAATAAATAAATATATATATACAAAACTGTAGATGTATTTTAACAACAGTTTAGCTTTGTCCACATACTAATTAGTAAATTAGCACTCTAAGCTTAGGATGAAAGGGCTGACAAGAAAAATAATAAATAAAAAAAAAAAGTTTAAATTATTTTTGAACGTGTCAATAAATAAATAAATAATCTTTCTTCCTAAAAGTATGGCTATGTTTATTATTTTACTTTAAAAAAAAAAAAACACTTGACCCTTAAAGACTTGCACTCTATTTGTTTTCTACTGCAACTGCTTGCTTTCTTAAAAAAAAGGCCTCTAACACTACCCGTCTCTATTTTCTTTCTATTCTACCTACTGTTTTCTTTATATTTATTATATAATAAAAAAAAATAAAAAAAACCTTGCTACTTGTATGGCATTGGGCTAACAGAGACTTGCTATAGCACTTGTATATTATTGCTCTTTTGTTGATTTTGATTGCTTCCATTGTCCTCATTTATAAGTCACTTTGGATAAAAGCGTCTGCTAAATGACTAAATGTAAATGTACTTTGTTTGCATACATTAAATGCACATTTATTAATTTCATATTTTATGTTTTGCTGCCTTCATTTGTCTTATCTGCCCACTCCAGATTTAAGAACCTATAAATGTGATGTTACAGCAGATTGACTGGTGCAACATGGTATTGTGATGTTTTCTGAAAATTGCTGAAGTTTAAAATAAGTTATTTTTATTTGTGTTTAATAACTTGGTTGAACTGCAAATGTGATTTCAACATGGCGGCCATCAAGTGGAAACTATACATTGAAACACGAGTCATCAATATTTTCCTATTTTCTCTACAGAGAAAGACTGAAAATTTTAAGAGTGAATGCTTTAAAAAAATGTAGGAGTATAGTACATTAGGCACATAGATGGCCTCAAAGCACAAAACTCTGATTTTGATCTCACGGGTATAATTATTAATACTATTGTTTTCTATCCTGTGTGACCCTTTTCCAGTGTGTTACATAGGACGACCAGACATCCCAGTAAAATCCCAAATAAAAGCCATGTCCTGACAGTTGTAATACCGTTTGTCCTGATAATTAGCTGAAGTTTTAAAGCTAAAAATAAACACTGAAGAAAAACATGCTGCTATTTTTTTGCCTACCACCTGACAAAGAAATTCAAATCTACTAACGTATAAAAACTAATCACTGATGACTTTTGGAAATCTGACAAACCATTTCCAGTCATCTTGAGAACATCAGAAGGAGCATCTTTAGTGCTCAATGAAGCAAGAACAAAACCCACCAGGCCACGTCTCTGACTCTTCCCTATTTTTTATCAGTCACTCGGTCACCCTTATGTAAAATGAGAATAAAAATTGGATGTGTAATGTAACCTCTCTGAGGAGGCCTTTGTTTGGGGCGGGAGACATGCTGTTTATTGCTGAGGCCCACTTACACCAAGAGGCATTCTGGGAGTAGTACCAGCTTTGGGGCTGGACATAAATATGCAAATCCCATGGGGGAAAATGAAAAAGACTCCACCCAGGACCAGACAGATAGACAATAACGCCTCCACCCCTGCAGAGTAAGGGCCTTTGTGATGGTCGGGTAGGGGTTCTGACACCGCTTGTGTTGAAAAAAAAAAAGGACCAAAACTTAAAATCATTCAAAGCCTACATGAACACGCTAGAAAAAAAGTAAAAGGATGTGTTTGAAAAAAAAGAGAAAAAATAATTTCCCTCCTAGGGGTTCCCTAATAAAAATGCTATAATAATTTATATTTTAATTTTAAATATAAATTTTTGGTGGTTCAAAAATTCTAAATTACTATATAAATAAATAATACCATTGCTCCTAGTGGTTGGCTATTAAAATGCTATAATAATTTACATAATTACAGTATTTAAAAAACCTATTGCTTGGTTGTTAAAAATGCTAATAATTTATGCAATTATTATAAACAAATATAATACATTGCTCTTAGGGTTTGGCGATTAAAAATGCTATAATAATGTGGATAATTATAATATAAAGAAATATAAATCCTAGTGTTTGGTTGTTAAAAATGCTAAAATGACTTATATAATTATTACATACAAATATGTTTGGCTATTAAAAATGCTATTTGTTACAAATTACATACAATGATGACTTTCAATATGTTACTAAACGACCAATTCTTCACTTAATATGTAGAAAATTACCTTAGCGTTTAGGCTAAATCCAATGAGATGATCTAATATGCTAAAAACAGTGTTACCATTATTTACTATTGCAAATAAAAAACCGATTGCAACAGTCCAACACATTTATATTATATATACTGAATGTATAATGCATATCCATAATGAGAGCATTCAGCCACTGCCAGCACACTAGGCTACCACCCAAAATGTCTGTAAAAAGGGATTAGGATGGATATTATGTTTGCCCATTTTGACACAAAGCATCTAAATCCAGCAATCGTTTCCAAGTACCTAATCCATATTTAACGCAGCATATACCATTGAGATGTGCCGCTAACATGACACACCAAAGAGCACCGGCTTTAACCATCAGACCATAAAAGCATGTAGAAAAAATGCTTGTTTATTAATCACATAGCTTCTGATGCTGGCCAAATTAACTTTTGTTTATAAAGATCATTATAATATTTTGTGGACAATAAGTAAAGCAATAGACAATGACATAAAACTTTATTGTGACTGACTTTTATTGTTGCAACTTCACAGTTGTTGATCATTACTGGCGGTATTCGTGGCTGTAGTTGGTACAGAAGGACTTATGACGTGTCTTACACCATTCTGAGCTCAATTGAGTGGACACACTCTGGCTTTTAGGCAAGATAAAAATAAAACTAGTGCCATTATTTGCTGATCTGGTGAAAAACATTATCTCATCATTGCTGTCAGCCCACATTACATGCAATGGTATGATCTGATGAACTCAAATGTGTGCATCTGGTCTACTGCTTTCCTAAGGGCAAACATACTCTTCCTACTCATCAATGTCCAATCCAGTGCCTTTGTGTTTCTTAAGGGCATTGCAGAAAGTTATTTAGGGATATTCAAAACATACAGAGATACAGAATATGCTGAAGGGAGAAGAGGCACAGTGACTGTTGCTTTTTGTTTGGGCAGAGAGCATGTGCTTCAAAGCATTATATATGAGTAAATGCTTCATACAGCTGGCATGCTATACAATATCTATGGGAGATGTGGAAGCACTTCATACAATCTGAAACTAAAATCCCCAGGAGCAAAATATATGAAAGTTAACATGGTCAAGTCTTTTTTAATATGGCTGGACCTGTGTGTTTCACACACATGGGTTGTAAATATAGTTGAAAACACAGATTAGCAAGTTCACTTTTAGGGCCCTATTTTAACGATCTAAGCGCAAGGTCTAAAGCGCATGGCGCAGGTGCACTTAGGGCGTGTCCGAATCCACTTTTGCTAGTTTAACGATGGGAAAAACGGTCGGCGCGCCCGGTGCATGGTCTAAAAGGGTTGTCTCTATTCTCTTAATGAGTAATGGGTGTGTTTTGGGCATAACGTGCAATAAACCAATCAGAGTCTCATCTCCCATTCCCTTTAAGAGCCAGTTGCGCTCGCGCCATGGCGAATTTGCTATTTACACATTGGAAATTGCAAGCACAAAGACAGAACGTGTCTCCAGAGAGGAAACGGATCTAAATACATGCAATGACTATTCATTATGACATGTAGGCATTTTTATATTTATGTAGCCTACACAATAATAATCTTTTTCTCAGGTGTTCTGGATCCAGACTGAAGCTTGTGTAAATCCTAGTTACCACGGGATGTCAATCCCGTGGCAAAAAAACAGAGAAACAAATGATCTAAATGGTCTAAAAGAGTTGTCCCTATTCTCTTCATGAGTAATGGGTGTGTTTTGGGCATAACGTGCTATAAACCAGTCAGAGTCTCATCTCCCATTCCCTTTAAGAGCCAGTTGCGCTCGCGCCATGGCGAATTTGCTATTTACACATTGGAAATTGCAAGCACAAAGACAGAACGTGTCTCCAGAGAGGAAACGGATCTAAATACATGCAATGACTATTCATTATGACATGTAGGCATTTTTATATTTATGTAGCCTACACAATAATAATCTTTTACATTTTAATCCCTTCATTTTTAAAAATGTTTGTGTGCTGCTGCGCATCCCTGTGTGTGTAATAAGCAAAGTGTACGCGCGTTGTTCACCCGCCTATAGGCGCATATTACTAACGCTCTTTAAATAAAAAATAAAAAAATAAATATTGCGGCAGACTTTAGACCAGGTTTTTGTTGGTCAATGGCACAATCTATTTCAGTTGCCTCAAAATAGCAACGCGCCTGTAATGCGCCTGAACACACCTCGTTTTCAGACCAGCATGCCCATGGGCGCACAAATGAGCGCAAATGCATTTGTTTTTAAACAACGTGGTGCAGGACATGAAAATGACAACTGTGTCAAGCTGAAACTAGTAAAAAACACTTGCGTCGCGCCTGGCACCACATTGCGCCAGGTGTATGATAGGGCCCTTAATGTTTGGAGCTGCTGCGTGTCAGTTTGCCACTGATGAAGGACTCATTTATACCCTCAATTAAATTTAAATTAATTTCATTTATAAAGTCAATTCAATTCAAATAGCTTTCTTTATTTCTGAAAGGGACTTTTTAAGCCCTAAATTCTTTTGGTGCTCCAAGACACTTGTGTAGCAACTAGGGATGCAGCAATTTTTATTATTTTTAATTATAATATTTAAATAAATAAATGCTAATAATTTATGCAAGTATTATAAACAAATATAATACCATTGCTCCTAGGGTTTGGCAATTAAAAATGCTATAATGTAGATAATTATAATATAAAAAATATAAC